AGACCAGTCTAAACTGTCGAACAGCCAAGGTATGTAGTTCTAGAACAAAACGAAACACGCGCGAAGGCGAAGAGCAGCAGAAACTCGGGTGAAACACTCTAACTATACTTTTCGGCGTCGCAGAGCGAAGCTGCGCCTATACGCTCTCCCGAACATCTTCGTATGTAATCGCTTCCAATGAGGTGCGAAATTCGGGGTCATGAACTAGTTTTGCTCAGCGGAAGCCGTGTTTAAGATTCGAGTGGCGAACGTCTAGCCACCACTGGTAAAACCAGCGATTCGGTGCGTCCGCTTCCCAAGTTTGTTCTCATGTCAATATAAGCTTTAGCATTTCGCGTGTTTACTGACATCAACTTCGGGAAGCGTATTACATGCTTGCACGCAGAAAGACACCAGTTGTCGGCGGAGTGGAAGAAGCCGGCGCGCATCGTGCGTGCGGCTGAACGGTCTTCGGGGCGGCGTCTTCATTTCTTCCCCACCGAGCACGCGGCGCGGATGCCGCCAACAAAGCGGACCGAGGCGCGCTTCCTACGAGGCTCAGTTCTATTTAGACCGGGTCGAATCGTGCACGACTTAACACCGTTCGAAAATCGGCGATCCCCGAACAGCGGTAGGCGATGAGCCGGCGTCCGGCTGGCTTTCTTGTGCACGGGGGCCTCGTTGCTTATTGCGCCATCACGTGCGACCTGCATGAGATAATTATGAATGGAGTTGATTTAGGCGCGATTACAGCTATACTCGCCGGACGTGCCTGGTCGACGCCTAGATTGCCGAACGCGTCCGTCGCCGCTTTTCCAGCGGATGGTTTGCCCGGGCCGGACAGCGCCACCGTTCTCATTAAGGCTTGCTGTATAGAGGCGCTTACGTTCCGTCGTCGCGTTTCAGTAAATCTCGCGTTATTTTCTAGCACAGGCGGCGTGTGACCTGCAAACGCTTTTAACGTGTGCTTTTTCTCGGCTGGCTTCTGAATGGAACTTGCCCTTCATAAGCACAGGCTTCTGTGAATCACTGTTGAGAGTGGGGCCTGCCGATGCATCAAGGCTTTCAGTGTATGCAGCCTTATGGGTCGCAGCGATGGAACAAGACGCACATTATAGTGCTTGCGTTTCGGCCTTCGGTATGTATTTTGGTATCCACGCGTACTGAACTAATCGAGTTGCATTAAGAAGCGCTCAAGGTGCGCTGAAAAACATTCACGTCTTCTATTGTTTCTCCCCGCTGGTAACATTCTTGGTGTTCGGAACGTGGGGATGACGTCTGCAAGCATACATTCTATTATTTCTTAAACTTGGTTTATGCAGACGGCTACGAGAACAAAATTATACGAGACACGAGAACAAAAACAAACATCTAACATTTACGTTTGTTGATGTTTTTCATGAACCTCCTACCCACGATGCCCTCCCTATCCCCTCCCACATGCGCGCACGCACAAATGGAGCCATGGTTTGAACTGGTCCTTGTACATTCCCATCGCTAGAATCAGGAAGTTTAAACCGCATCAATACGTTAAAAACTATAAATAAAAATGCTAGAAATGTTTTGTGCCAATAAAAACTGAACCACGAAGAAGAATAGTAAAGGTTTAGTCTCATTTGAGAAAGTACACGGAAATCAAGTTTCTTACAGCTATCCTAGTGAGGACCAGAAACGGTGCCAGGAACTTTCCCCTGGTAGAAAGAGGGTGGCATGTGAGGATAGGTGCAGCTACATTTCAGGAGGTCATTCAGGGTGGGTATAGAGGGACGGGGGGGGGGGGGGGGCAGGTTATGTTGCTTCAGAGGATGGGGGCTGGCTCCACTCCTCCATGGTGGAGACAGCGTGGATCCGGATCCACTGTGTACGGTTATAATGTTCCACCGCACGAAAGCTGGCAGATGATTTAGGAGTTGTTGTTCCGGAACTAACCTACAGTTCAACTTGTTTTCTAGCTTCTTGGTTTCGTTTATCAATCTGTTACGGAGCCTTTTTGTTTATTGCTACTACAGAGAAGACACAACCACCACTCGTGAGAACACAGTTGCTAACGACGTATTAAAAAGCTCTTATCAGGTGAATACCCCGCATCTGACAGTTTATTTGTCTTTTATTTATCATATGAAATCTAGGAGACGTTGGCACAATTAAGTGGCGTCGATTTTTTATATTAACACATAATTGATGCGTACTAATAATGAGCAAAGAAGATGTCACCGAGCGAAAGAAACGTGTCAGTAATGATCAACTGCAGTAACTTGAAGTCATGTGACAAATGAACTAGGAACTGCAGGTTTGAATTTATCATGTTTTTTTACCACATGTAGTTTTCCAGTTAGTGGTTGGGACAGGCGGAAAAAGCAGCACGATGCGGCTTTTCTTTTGTAGCACAAATTACTGTGGAACCTAAGTTATTTCTTCGAGTTCATATTGTCTTCTAAACCACTAATTGGCTTCCTCCGGTGCAGTTATCTCATTAGTACACGCCATTTTGAGGGCGGGAACTTGACCAACTACATGGCGTAATTTGCCAACGGCCTGTCCCACGTATTTTTGTTGCTCGCCCATGAGGGCCTCCTGACGGATTCCGCGCGAGACTCTCTCCCCCGAAGCAAATAGGTCAGGCCCAGTGCTAACAATGACTGCCCGCACCGCCGTAACGCAAGCAGCTCTTTTATTAAGCCGCCACTGGTCGACCCATAAAACAGTGACCCTGAACCCCGAGCCGAAGGTGGGTCACCATCGACGGCAAAGGCAAGTTCTCTCGGCGGGACCTTAAATTAGAAATTCCCAACACGCGTCCCTCCGAAGTCGTTACCGAGTTCCGAGTCTCTGCGTCGATGTTATAAATAATGACGGTCCCGGTTCTGTGATTACCACTGGAGTCCCATCCCGGAGAAGAAGAGCGGGAGAGGCTTCTCGTGGAAGGTGCGGCTACATCGCCGTGGTGGGGGATACGACCGCCGCCGTTGCTCTCTCCAGGCCCGCGTCTCGTCCCTCTGATGTCTTACGCCGTTGCGCAAACTTTTCAAGTGCGCCCAGCCGCGCTCTAAATCAACGGTAAATACGCGCCATAGTGCCTGGGAGAAGTGGACACGCGATACAGGCTCGCGCCTCGCTCTTTGTTTCGATGGTGGGCCGCCGGCGGAGGTGAAGGCACGCCCTTGCGGCGTCCCGTCGGGGAGGGCCCCGTCTTCCCCGGGGCCCGACGTGGCCCATGCTGGCCGTGCTCGGGTCGCGCGCGCGCACAGGAACGAGTTTCAAAAGGGCGTTTGAAAAATGAGAGTCCGAGCCCGGCTGGCCCGCGTGGTCTTTAGCAAAAGTACGGGGTTGACGGCGGCATGCCAGTGTGTAATTGGCTCGTTATGGGCAACCTGTTCCTTTCGCGAACGTATAGCCAATAGCCTTCTCTCCCTGGTCTCGTATCGGCTGCTCGCGTTCACGACTGTACGCGCTGCTGTGTATAACTGGCGTAAGCGAGTCTCCGGACAGCGGCAATGCACGACTATGGTGTACGATGCATCGGAGATTGCTCCGTCCTGGACGTCGGCCGGCCATCGCCTTCATGAGGGCCACAACATCTCGTACATTGCTCTCTCTCTCTCTCTTGCTCACTCTTTCTCTTCGTTATTGTGAGGAGGGGATGGGGAGACGTTCACTGCACCCCAGTCCTTTTACAACTATGTTTGAACTTTCCTTCCGCCGAGGCCCCGTATCGTCGCGCCACCAAAAGCCCGTGGACGTGATATACAGAAGAAGCGGTGGAGTCACTTGTACTCGAGATCTTGCGAAAAGAAATCCTAAATTCACGAGACAGGTGAAACTTGTTCATCTATCTTGGAAGGCATAGAATGCCGTCCAGGGCAAACGGAAAAGTACGGTATACCTACACCTTGCTCACGTGAAAAGTGTCCGCTCTGGGTTTGCCAGTGTTGAATAAAGTGTCAGTTGGTAAATCCTGCGTTGCTATTTAAACCAGTATTGCTTTAAATCGCCATCATCGCTCCTCAACCGGTGTCGGAAACTCTCACTAACGACATTCGTGGAGCAGAATTATTTGCTGTATTATTACTATGGTAGTGGACGAAGTAGCGCTTAGCTCGATATAATGTAACAATTCTCTGTACATCGCTTTATTTCTTTCTTATTAATAAAGTAAAAAAAATAGACAACCACCCGTTTGTGGCACGAAGCCGCAAGGAAATCTGCACGAATTTTTCAGAAAGAAAAAGCTTTTTAGTTGCTGAAAAATTCGTCCTGGTCCAGGGGATCCGCGTGGATTTCCTTGTGGATTCGTGCCACAAACGAGTGGTTGTCTATTTTTACCTTTCTTAAAATAATGTTTTTGAAATAATGTTTCTGGGTCTCCGCAGAACTCATTTGCATTCCTTTCTTATCATTCACTAGTAATCACTGACCGATCATTCTCATAATGTATACGTAGATTCTACATCGCTCAGAACAACTGACAGACAACGTAAAAGTATACAATAGAATCGTAATATTCTTGTGGCTTGTACTTCTCTCCAAAATACCATTAGCTAAGTATTCTCCCCGTCACTTGGAGGCCTCGTATGAAATGGTACGGTATTTTATTGAAGTGAGTGATTTTAAACTTTGTCATAGCCGATGGTTGTATGTACAGTTTGGCTGTATATTTTGGTGCTTTAAAAGTATACTACTAAAATGCCAGAAGTGGCAGCAAAGTATTTCAAAAACAATATTTTGCGTTGCCGAAAATAAGTAATACCTAATCTTATTATTTTAGATTGTTACCTCTTACGGTTACTCCATTTTTTTTATCGACCAAATATACGTTACGTTGCGTAGACGGAAGTATGTTTCGGAAAGATTTCTTACTAACCGTTGTATCATCAATGCCGTTGCAAGAAGAGTAAACGTCCAATGTTTCCTACGCCAGCTATGTAGAAATAAAATGAGTGGGATATATGCGTTATGCTTATATATAGCGCTATCTTCAACGAAGTTACCGACAGTCTCCTTTTCGCTTTCTTTCATTTTAGGATGCAGGGATGTGAACGGACGGGGCATAGCTATCATTAGCAGTTCGGCATTCAAGGATGTCCCAGAGCTGACGCCATCGCAGCTGGCACAGATGTTGATGTACTTCTACACAATACCAAAGTAAGTATGCTTGTGCTCTAGATAGCTTTTTTCATTCACCTACATCACTGAATTCCGTGGTTGCTTGAACTCTCCGAAAAAAAAAGAATAAGTTCGGAGATACGGAATAAGAAATGAACAAGAAGAAGCGCGCAAGTAGAGCGAATAATGTGACTATAAGTGTAGGGATGAAGTCAGAGTGATGCTCCCGTAATAGTTTATTGCGTAAAAAAAAAAGAGACTGCAAGATGCATCTCGTACAAATTAGCAGAGCCAGTAAAATAAATAGGCGAAGAAAATGCAGGAAAAACGCTGAGTTCAAAGAATCATTCTTTTTTAGCATGCAAATATGTGTATTCGGTCATCGAAACGAAAAAAAAAATGAAAATGAGGGTAAGTGAAAAAAAGCGTGCTAGTATAAAAAAACGGACAGAAGTGCATTAGAGGGGCGGGGGCATAGAAAAAATGGTGGGAAAGTCAGACTAACTTCCAGTACGTCTTCTTCTCATGTATTTTCTTTTGTTAGTGAAACTCGAAAGCAGTCGAAATACAGTAAATTCGACTCGTTCTATTTGATTATTGTCTCATTTTTTTTTCTCAGTTTCTTTTTTGAATATTATTGAGGTGTCTGCTTGTGTGTTGTCATCAGCTTTAAAATCCAATTTGCACTACTGCGACCCTGTATAGCTGTCGAAGGTGAACCTGAACGGCAAGGATTTTATGACAGTAGTAGAAAAAAAAAAGTTAATATTGCGCTGCAACTTTCACGTGAGTCAGGTTGTCGTGGGAACGGCAAAATGCGACTTCATGACAAACTGAACATTGAGTACGTATCGCTTTGTGCAGCATACCGAGTGAATGCAACCTTTAATTGGGTAGTGACATTCGGGACGTAACTAAAAACCTAATCCGTGGCACTGCACGCGCAGTTTATAACGCGAATGGACAGAAAGACAGAACGAAACTTCCTTGTTTAGCTCAAATGGCAGGAGCGAAAATCTTGCATACATCCGCATATAATACTGCCGCGAAAATCGAACGATCACGTTTTATGGGCGTGCACTCTCGACACCCGTGAACTCGTTTAGCGCGCATCTTGTGTTGCTAAAACAGCTTCTTTCACACCAGAACTGGAGTTTGCGACGAACGAAAGAAAAAACATTCGGCGCTGGGAAGTTGAGAGGAGCGAGTATAGCATATGTCCGTGAAAATTTCACCGGAAAGAAAATGCAAAATAAGTTGCGTTAAACGTGAGAACGTCGGCAAAGTCGAGTGAAGCTATCCCTAGCCCTCGAAAGGGCGCATTTATTTTATATCTCATTAGCAGGATTTCCTTATATTGTATGGCTGCAGAGACTGCGTCCACTTAGAAGCTGTGCTTCGAAACGAGGCAGTCGATTTCTCCGAAAGCGGTACTGTATCCCGCACACCGTTTCCCCTTCTTAGGAGCAGCGAACAACTAGAATCTGATAACGACTTAAGGAAGTGACTCTCTCTGTTGTCGGCTAGCTCTCATCGTTAAGAGTGAAGGACGAAGTCTCCAGTCATAACTCTTCGCCAATCGTGTTTCCTTCCAGGAAAGAAATCAGTGTTCGTGGATTCCTCCTGCTCGTCGATGCCGCTGACGCAAGCGAACAGCTCTGGAAACTGCTCGACGAGGCACTCTGTCTTCTTGAGGTTTGTCTTCTTTCTTTCTTTCTTTCTTTCTTTCTTTCTTTCTTTCTTTCTTTCTTTCTTTCTTTCTTTCTTTCTTTCTTTCTTTCTTTCTTTCTTTTTTTCTTTCTTTCTTTCTTTCTTTCTTTCTTTCTTTTCGATTTTGTTTCCCCGCTTATCATTCGTTCAGGCGTACCCTGCCCAAGCAACTTTCGCCCTCCAATTATTCTCTTCTTATGGTGACTGGTGCAAAGTAATTGTAATTTTGAGATTTAAGTCCCAAAATCACGATATGACTTTGAGACTCGTAGTAATAAAGGGTTTCGGAAATTCTGATCGCTTGGAGTCCCTTAACGGGCATCCAAGTATAAGGAAAGTGTCATTAAATGCAAACAATAATTCAATTTGGACAGACAAGGTCTCATTTCAAAACTCGCATGTGCATTTTCTTGGCGTTAGTAGGTTTGCTATATATATAGAAAAGTATATAACGGTATAGCCTTCACTTCCCTAAATTTCACGCCCAAAAGCCTGGCCACTTTGTCACTGCGATGCAATTGGTTTCAAAACACTGGGTCATATTCGGTATGTTTTGGCGGTGCTGAAAAAGTTACCGAAACTTGCTGACTTGCTGTTGGGCTCTTTTTAGAAGTGAAGTGTAATCAATTTATGGTAACAAAGCGTTAACGTCCTAATTGGTTACACCAGGGCTAACTGTTGCGGGAACATCCTCGGGGCGCAGACACCTGTCTTTGGTATTCACTTCTTTTCTGGCTTAACGAGCCAAGCTGCATTTCACGGTGAAAGTAGTTTTTTCTGGCTATTCGTCAATATTCTATATATACTATATATGGCATGCATCAGTTGCCGCGGCATCTTGCTTCCTATATGGCGATCGGTGTTGTCGCTGAACAATTGACGATAGCGTAATTCGTGTTCACTGTTGTTTTTCTGTTCACTGGTTGGGTTATCGGAAAGTAAGCTAAATTAACTTGACAGAAACCCGCAATTCATGCGTGTGTTTATGACTTGCAAGATTGGAAACTCTAAAGAATATAATCGTTGTGTATTCTCGCTCTTTTCAGGCAAACATCAACAACGCGATCGACATCGTAGTTGTGGCGAATGCTCATTCCCCTCTGGAAGTCAAGGCACTCTTGTCTCAAACAAGAGCTAAGGTACGGTAACCTTCATCGTACACTCGGGAAGATATGTCACGAATGTTAGGGGGGAGTTGTTGCCCCGGAGAACCATATTACTTGTATGCATGATTGCTGATCGACGAGAAAAAAATGAAACGAAGTCTTGATAACACTGTTCCAGGAAAGGAAAATTATTAGTGAGGAGGAAAGGAAATTTGACATCATTTCGATTCATTGAGATTATTGTTTCCATTCTCTAATTTTAAGTGTTTGGAAGAGATCGCCGCTTCCCCTGAGCGTCTCTCTGTGAGTTTTTCGAGTGTCATGCGCACGCACTACCGTCTATACGGTGAGAGGCCGCGGGGTGCTTAAGGTAACTGGCAGCAGAAGTTCAAGCGCTTACCAGTCAGAAGACGGCTGCAATGCAGTTCCATGCCTCCATGTCCACCTGAGTTGAATTGCTGCTTAACTTAGACTCCAACAGTTATAGCTGGGACAGTACCCTGTACTTAGAAGCCGGCTCCACAGCGATTACACCTAGAACCTTCCGTATAATTACGTGCCACCGGCGTTCTGATTAGTTATCATTCTGCTCGCGTTTCAATTTGTACTGATGGTTCACCGACGCCTTCTGTCGTGGACGCCACTGGTTCGAGACACCCTCCATTCCGAGCATCGAGGAGCGTGGCGCCAAATGAGCCAAGCAGGCCGTAATGAATACATCGGCTTTGGCGAAGGAGAGAAAATACACGGTGCCAGGCGACCACCTTCGCGTAGCCGCTTGACAGAGCTTCTTTATGACAGAATGGAATAATAGAATAAGTTTGAGCAAAGCAATCTAACCTAAACAAAGAGGCGTGAATTGGGAAAGAGTGCTTAATTATGGAGACGTAGTTGCAACAGGAGCGCCATGTCTTCAACCGACCAAGGCTCTGTATTGAATACCATTGCCTTCAAAGAGCAGTTCTTAAACCTCGCACGGACGAGTCCATATCAAGTTACGCATTATGCCTTCTCTGGTTAGGTGCGATAGCTTCGTCCGCGAAAGTGCTGGAAGGGTCAGCGGTGACCCTCTGCACTGCTTTCAGATTGTCCAAGTGACATCGCAAGAGAAGTTGCTGGAGTTCGTGGACAAGGACAACCTGCTTCCAGAATTTGGAGGAACCTACACTTATGATCACCAGGAGTGGATGAGCTTCCGAAAGGTACGCTTTTTGCTGTTTTGAAAGATAAAATACAGAAATTGAAATGAAAAAAGGCAGTACTCTGTCCGAATACTGATAAAACTAGTCACATGAATGCCTGCATGAACTCATATTAAGACTGTAAATATTCCTTGAGATATTTCTCGAATAATTATTGTTTCACGAGCGCAGATTTCGTCCAGTCACATTACCGCTGTTTGTTTTCGTTCAGATTCCGATCTCTTAGACTCCTACACAGACGCATTTTTCAAGTTATTTAGATAAGCGATGTAATTGTAGCTAGCTCACGATACCTATTCATCCGGGTGCATTTTGTGCTTATGTGTGGGAAAGCCATTATCGAAGAGCGGAAGCAGTATGCCGTAAAACCGTTCAGTCCGTTAACTATATGCACTTCAATATACCCTACTTCGTACCCTCCACTGTTACTTTTTGCAACCGCCTGTCAGGAGAACAACACCGCTGCTTCTTTTTCACCACCCTACTCAATTATAGCATACACGCAGCCTTGAGTTCAATAAACTTTATTTGCGCGTACGCGCAGCCTTGCCACTATCGCCAATGTTTCTGCGCGACCAGCTGCGCACTCGCGCATTGCAATCTATGTGGGCATCCCGAATCGTCGCGATTGCGTCGCAGTTCCTGGAGCCGTTTGTGTCCGGCTGTCGGCTGTCCGGGCGGCAACTAGTCTCCGTGATGCAAGAGCTGCGAACGAGTCGGGTTCCGCCCTCGTCAGCGCTGGCGCTGCAGCTGATCGACGCCCAGAAGCGGCACATCCAGGACACCTTCCGGGACGAACAGCTACGCCACCTGCAGGAAGAAGGGGACACCATACTGCAGGAGCTGCAAGCGTACCGAGCCCGGTCGCCGCACAATCTCGACTACCGGTACGCACGCACCCAGGCCGAGGAGAACGTCGCCGCTCTTCTTGCCTGATTGCATGCATTAAACGACAGGCTTGCAATTACTCTCCGAGACTACTGAGAGGTCATTAACGTCGTGTCATTTAATCTTTAGTTACCAGTGATCGTTCAAGACGCTCTTCACGTAAGGATAGGACGGAAAAAGTAATCAAAAACTGCAAAAGCACAGAGGGCGTGAATGTAACGATGACTGGTACAAGCGATCTGTACTGATGTGGCTGTGATTAATCAGTGTGAGGTTGTTTTCCTGCAACAGCGCCATGTTAGGTTCCCGTCGCGCACTCTGTGTTTGTAACAAAAGTGTTTCCGCTAGACAATTACTGTCAAGTTGAAAATTAAAGGTTGGTTTGTGCATCGTTCAGAACGATAAGAAAGGCAGAGGCGGGAAACTGGCTGCGCAGGATCTCCGAGGTTAGTGGCTTACCCTTGATATGGACGCTGTGAAGAGCAAGCTGTTCACGTGTGCAGATAACCAAATGCGCATATTAACTAAAATATTTGACTTTGGTCCTCTGGCTTTGCCACCAGGTAAACCTGTGTTTGTCGGAAAAAAAAAAAACGAAGAAGTGCGACACGAATTTCGCGATGATCTTGGGAATACATTTTCCTCGGCAAGTTTACATGCACTCGAGAAGCTGAAAATCGAGTGTTCGGCAGTTTGACAGTGCAAACATGATAAGTGCTCCGTGTAATGTTCTCCCTTTCCCAGTCTGCTTCTTTATTTATGCGCAGCAGCATATAGCCTGTTTAAAGTTACTTTACCATATAACAGTGGTTAAGAGGAAATTATTGTTACATCAAGCCGAAGTTAGGCCTTACGTTTGTCTTAAAAATCAGTTTGCTGAGAACGTAGTTAAGTTCAAATTTAACGCTAACAGCACGGGGGCACAAAAAGCAACGTGTGACCAGGAGTAGAGGTGCTTTACAGTTCTCAATACTTGTTTCCTATGTAATCAGTGACATGAAAAAAAAGTCACAGTTTCGCCGTAAGGGCGAAGCAATGAATGCGATAGCAACATAATCGAATGTTTTATGAAGCAAGAATAGCATTTCTAGGAGCAATAATAATTGTAGTAAACATGCGCTTGCATGTACTAACTTAACCAAGTTTCCTGCGGCGCGGCCACAGTATACATGACCACAACATGACTCGTGCATAGTGACAGAGTTTATATACGAAGTGAGGCTGGCCGTCAACTTATTTAGGTCTCATCTCACGTAACTCTACAAAACTCTGGTGTAAGAGAACACGGCCGTTCCAGGGGTAGATTTGTGGCACCGTTTTTTTTTTTTTTCGTGTTGAGAGAACAGCCCGTAGAAGCTCTCGCCTGCTGTGGGGGCACAAGGCGCGCCCTGACTGTTGCCACGATAGCGCGGCAACCACAAGTGCCACCCCCCCCCCCCCCCCCCGTTCGCTGGCAAGATAAGCGCTCGCGCAGACGGGCCCGGCTGGAAAGGCGATGTTCGCTCTGCAGAAAGAGGAGGCTAGCGCATATATATATATATATTTATATACGTGATCGACGGTGGTGGCGTGACGACGGCAAAAACCAACCAAAACTGTCTATATAATTGAAATCACCACAAAGGGGATTATCATGTGCGACAAATAATTGTACCAGCTCATGATTGGTCAGCTGTTGCGCTGGACGCATTCGGGAATCCACTCGGCGAGACATTAATTCCTTTCTTAACAAAAGTTGAACCGCGGCTGGCGTTATAGTCTTTATCTGATGAACGTGTACTGTGTCTCGCATAAAATTCTTGGTATCAGAGATAGTTAGGGATACGGTGTCCCTCACATTTTCGAACAGCTAGAGCTTGGACTGCAACTAGGAGGAGCCACCAGACAGCTCGCGCTGCAGCTTTCTTTTTTTTTTTTCGCTTATATTGTAGTTGCTTTCGATCTTTCGCCAAATGCCGTCTGAAAGGAATCGGTAGCACTTTCATCTGTAAAAAATCAACATATCCACGGAATGAATAATGATAAGTGGGGTAAAGCATCCGTCAATCATTTGTGTTTTCGTACGTGCGCCCGTTCGCGCGTCCGTTCGTCCGTGTGTATGTATGTCTGTTCGCCTGCTTGCCCGTCCGTCCATCCGTCCATCTAGAGAACATTTCAACTACCGCCATCTCGCTTCTTTTGATAATATATTTATCATATACAAGTACCGCCATCCAGCGGATAATCCAACGACTAAACGAGGGTATCTATCACGTTTCTGCTGTCAGCGCTTTGTTAACATAGAGAGCGTGATAACGACGCCGTGCTACGTTTTTCGTAACATGTGGACATTCGGATATATGCCCGAGGGTCGGTATGTGCCACTGGTATGTGGGTATGTGCCACAGGTTACGAACTACGACAACGGGGGACGCTCAAGCCACGCCATAAGGAGCTTCGTCCCTGTAACTGTGTACAGGATTCAAACTGAAACACTCGTGGCCGTCGAGTATAAGCGAACAATTTAACTTTTAAGGAACAGGACTGAGGCGCCAATTGAAGTAACTATAAGTCGCACTGCTTTGAACAAGTGTCGTGTCGTATAGAACAGTATATGTGTAATCGTTTACAGCACTTTTACATTTATGTATTATTTTCACTTTTCACGCTTTCTATACAACTCTTGACATATCTGCATATTACTCCATTTCAGCGGCTCTGGATAGCTCTGATAGATGGAACTTGATATGTTTGAAAGCTTTCATCTGGCACTCCCTGGTGCTAGATTTTTAACGTTTTCGGTAATGTTTCGGATTATAATTTTGAAGTTGTGATCTGGCACGACCTGTGAATGTCTGTAGTCAGATAAATATTTTTGGAGGTTACCCAATCATAGGCGGCGTTACTATCGTTTCTCGCCACTATATAGAGACAAGGTGTCTTATTGAATGACTCGTAAGGGTAGCTAGTCAGAACAGCTGAACTCTCGTACAACTAAGCCAACTAAGAAAGCAACCTGCAAAATAAAATGCGCTACTTAAAATTAGACGTGGTTTTTTACATACTAACCTTGCGAGCCATTTATAAAAGTTTTTAGCTTTCCCTGCTTTTGCTTCAGTCAAGTTACGTCTGGTCGTTCACATGCAGAGTCCACAGCTACAGCATCTGTCGTGGCCTAATTGTTACCTCACTGTTTCAAAGTGACTGGTAATAGACATCTTTCATCAGTGCGTTAATTCTTACTATCTAGCTTCTTCCTCACTCACTTGACTTTTTGCTAAAGCCGACATTGGGGCACGAAAATGTGCGCGCTCCGAGTATTTTACCGCGTGCAGTACACTTTTCTGTCGTCCCTTTTACAGAACCGCGTCGTTGTCGTCGTCATACTTAGAAAGTGTGTCACAATGTGTTACCATTTTCTTCACTTTAGGGATGCCTTGGAGAAGAGTGGTCTTCTGTACAACGAGCTGAAACGCGCCATGGCGAAGCTGGCCAAGCTTGCAGACAAGAGGCTGCAACGTCTCCAAGAATGCATGCTCGTGAGGACCTTCGAAGAAGAATCTAGTCAAGTGAGTTCGCATAGTGCCCTTACTTTTGTACACGGCTTTTCCTATTTCCACGGGCATTAAGAGTGAGCTACGCTTAAGTTGTGCTCGGAAGCTGTACTCGTAACGCAGGTATTATCTGCGTTCTTTTTTTTTCGTTTGCATGGAATTCACAGCGGCGTAAGGAACATTACGCAGCATACTGGAAGGGAAATTGGTGATTGCCACGCCAGTCTAGATTAAGAACACTGCAGGGTCCTTCGGTATTCTTGCGAGGCATTGTGTGGCAGTGTACTAGTTACGGTTGCAGGAAATCTTTCAGCTACAGCTACGGTGTTGATGCAGTTATTAGAGCACGTCCCTTGCGTCGTTCGGTCGAGTGGCAGGCAGTTCCTCGGGCCCGCGTTCGTGAGATGCAGTGTGAGAGTGATGCGTGACTTCCATCTGGGTCGCTGTGCGTTGAGGCATGCCGGGTGACACATATTATAGCCCGGACGTGCACCAGCGTAACTTGCGTGGTGAAGGACTCTTCCGGACTGTCACATGACTGGCTGACGGCGTCATAGCTTTGAAAAGTCATTGAATGCAACGTTAATTTAGACTAGCTAGCACACTCCTTAACTAAGGGTAGATCGAAATGTGAGTGAGTGCAGGAAAAGACAGGTAAAGCGATCTCGATAAATGAATCAACTGCTGCACGTAATCATCACGAACACGCCTGTTATGTTTGCTCTACAGAAACCAAAATCTTTCGCCGCATCTTCATCTTTCAAGAGCAGTGCAGCCGAACCCAAACTGCACTGCGCGCACGAAACCACCGCTCAGTTCTCAGTTTGCAATAGTCTTCTGGTGATGGTGGATCTGGCTACTCTGGCCGTTGTTTTGTGATATGACACTGACGGGAAGAGCGCTGACGCGACAGCATCAGATGCCGCTAGTCGCGACTGTAGTTACAAGTGTGGGACCATAGCTGTCGTGGTGTTCACAGGCCCCTGTTTGTACGTCCAGCAGGTGAGATGCGTGTCTCTTCGCAAGCGATGTCTGTTTTCTTTTCGGTCAAGTATTACGTTTCTCGTGGCCTGTGTTCGATCGCGTAGGCTGACTGGTGTGCCCTGAGGCGCGATCAGGTTCGCTTGCGAATGTAGGTTGTACCAACTTCGCAAGTTTGCCTACTCTTGCTTGCGGGTGCGAATTCGTCAATGTCACATGTATTTCCTTGTCAGCTGTTGCGTGACAAAGCGGCCCATCTGTATCCATGACGTATACATCGTGTTCCCAGCACATTTCAGATCGCCATTTGGAGCGACAAGTTTAGAACGTAAGAAGCATGGTATGGAAACCAAGCATTCAAGGCCGGAACTAAAGAAAGCTTACAATTCCCACGTTTAAAAAAATGCAGCAAATAAATCATGAAAACAAAGAAAGACATAAAGGACGGCTAGTGGAAGAGCCGGCGTAAGGACGTCCCGGCTGCTTGGCCTGTGCAGCGTTATCTTTTTGCGCGCGAGGCATGTCCGAGGTTGGGCTGGAAACAGAAAGGAAGACGGCCGAGAGGGAGGTTGCCGGCATCATGCCGGCACGTTGCTATGTTGCGTAAGCGAAACCACCGCCGAATTATGCCACCGGCGCGCGCGCGCTCACGCTGTGGTGTTTCTCTTCGATGAGGCCATTGTCTAAAGGGCCCGGCCCGGCTGGAAGCGTGGGTTGGTCTACCCTGGCCGAAAACCCAAAAAGGCTGCCGCGCTTCGCCGGTGAATCCGGGCTAATGGACCGCTCCGATGGGGGGGATGCTAGGAGTCACGTGATTGCAGCTCACGTGGGTGGTGGCCGTTCGCTCGCGCCGATTTCTCCATTGTCTCGAGAGAACGCTCGCCCGACCTCGTTCGTTGTTCGGCCCCAGCGGGGCGCAGTCGCTCTTTAGCGGCCGCTCCTGTCTCGTCGGGCCTTCGGGGAGCTTCCTCAGCGGCTCTGTTGCTTCGCGCTCCCGAACTGCCGTGCCCTCTGGTGTGGCAGCCAAGCTGCCCCTGGAATGTGTGCACACTCGCCGCCTCTCGGTGGGAGGCCCAGTGCGCCACAACTCCACGCCGCCAGGTCTCGAGTCCAGCATCCGCGACTTTGTGCATCCGACGAGCTAACACGCAACCGTACGTTCCCGAGATCGCAATGTTTCGCCACAGGTGTGCGACGCCGTTGTTTGCGCCCGTATAGAACGCACGTGCACATCTCAAACGTCGTTGTCCACTGCATAGACGGCGAGACGCCAGTTCGCTACATGAAAAGCTGCCGCCACCGTACACACAAAAGAATTCGGATGGCCTCCTGTCGCCGCGGGAATACAAACAGCTGTCAGGCCAGGTCGTTAAAGGAATGGACAAGGCAGGGCTATAGAAGGGCGTAGGGCGTGATTGGCTCCGAGGGCTTTTTACTGTATGTGTTTGGAACTCCGCTCGCTACTGAAGCAAGCAAATACAATCGGCAGGGCATTCTTCGACCTTGCGATGCTTTCACTGCAACGAGGCTTTGCTTGGAGTTTTTCTCTTATGTTTACCTTATACGTAGGGGAAATAGGTTTATTTCTATAGTGGCGGGTAACAAATCTACGTTTAATTTCTCGATAAATTACAATTTCACCTAAAAGCACGAACACGATCGCGTTTTAATTCAGGTGTCCTCCTGATTAGATGTTACTCTGATTCCCCTTTTGAAAGTGCGCATTAAACTTTTGACTGCTCAAATTGGCTCGTAGGTACATACTGCGGTGTGACCAAAGTCGCAAAATATAATTATTTAGCCGAGAATTTTACGCTCTGAAACAGTGATAATTGCAGTCCTGTAAGCTGGACATTCATTTTGTCACCGAGTCTTTGTCGTGAAACAAAGTCATGTATCACAGTTCACGTCTGTTTGCTTTTTGCGCAACGCGCATTATGAAAATGTTGTGTTTACAATTAATGCTGTAGTGGTTTAAAAGCGAACTTTTGAGTCATAGAGTTGCTTCGAAGAGCTGCTTTTACAAATAACTATTGTACTGTTTTGCTATTTTTAAGACGTCTTGAATTGGGGATTTTCTTTTTCATATTGCAGTTTCAGTAGATGTTACGGTGCGTATCCCTGCCTGAAAGAAATTACTGCAATGAGGTAGATTTCTGTCGTATTGCATACAAATGCATTGTACTCAATCCGATGGAGACAAAAATGTCGTAGGCCCGTGTGCTCAGATTTAGGTGCACGTCAAAGAACACCAGGTGGTCGAAATTTCGGGAGCCCACCACTATGGCGTCTCTCATAATCATGTGGTGGTTTCGGGACGTTAAACCCCACATACCAATCAGCTATATTGAATCTACTTGCGCTAAGTGTCACTATCTGTGGTTGTCCAATAAGGGTATTTTTCTGCTTTCCTCGTGTTCGTAAATTAAAACTAAACGCTCTCGGAAGTGGTGTTCGAAAACAAGGGCAGTATATATTTCAACTTTTCTCTCTCTAAGTGCAAGTTTAATTCGTAATGATTGCAGTGCTGTTAGCTACACCTCTATATACGGATGAGCAGTTTTCTCGTCTCGGCACAGTTTCCATACGGCGCTTTCATTAGTAGCAGCGCAAGTACACGTCGGGGCTTCTTTTCTATTGACTCAAGCCACGCTTTCCTTTAGCAGCCGTGTAACTTTTCGTTCGTTCGTGCTTACCTAAGGTGCTTTTGTTGTGGCACTTTGGGTGACAGATCGCCGGGCGCCTAAGACCGTAATGAGGAGGCCGTTTTTTTTTTCCTATCTTTTCTCCCTCCGAACCCAGGAGTTTCTCGTCCCGCGGTTTAATTACTGCCTTTCCGCTTCTCTCCGCCACTCCCCCCCGCGGTCAGGACGCGCATGGCGCAGCGGCGGTGCCCCTTTGAAGTGGGCACGCCTGCCAGCGTTGAGTCTGCCGGTGCGGTGTACAGTCGTTGTGCTGGCACCCCTTGCGTCTGGCTTTATCGCCTCGCGTTGTTCGTCTCGTCACACTTCCCTTTCGACTTCTTTAAAGGCACGGCTTTCTCAGCCCTCATTTCTACAGCAGCGGCGGAGGTCCAGAGAGAACGCGATAAAGCGGCGCCTGGTGGGCCGTCCCGAGTCCGGTAGAGTGATCAGGTGCCGCATCCGTTCTGCGCTTCTCTCCCTCCCTGTGTTTATCGCGTTTTATAGGGCGGGCTGTTGGGTACCATCTGTAACGTTAAATCTCTCCTATCTGCCGCTACGCGCTTAGGCGCCCCATGTGCACATCCTCGGAGCCGCTGACGAGATGAAAGATGTACAACCACGGTATCATGGTCCGACTGGCAGCCGTCTGGGGTGTTTTCGCAGTCAGCATTCTTGAACGAAGTGCATTACGCGATAATCGCCTCTTTTTCGTTTGCGCCTGTACTAGCATAAAAATGAGTTTTCTTTTTTTTTTCGCTGTAAACCGTATTTTTGGTTACATACAAAATGGTATGCAGGTTGATATGCAACTAAAATAAACTGACGTTTTAGATGAAGGTGGTGAAGCATGCTTCTAGTTTCTCCATTTTAGTTTTGAAGAAATTATTACACTGTCACCACGGGCATGCTATTTAATTATATTCAGCAGTTTTCCTTATGATCCTGAACTGAAGTTCAGAGTGATAGATGCATATATCGTGCCGGGTATACATCTATCACGAGGCATATATCTATCACCCTTAACATGATGAAGCTGTAGAATTAAGTCAACATATATAACCTAGACGGACCCCCCTAAAACAAGTTTTTGGCTAGAGGAGAATTACGTCCTCATTTAACTTTACCTGTTTGCCTACGCATTAGATGCAAGTCTTTCCCATCAGCTTCATCAACTTGATCCTGTTCCTTAGTTTTCCGGGGATGCGGTTAATCAAATGCGCTATTAGTGTAGCATGCGATTGCTGGTAACTCTTATATACAAGGCTAGGTTGGCTTACAGTAAGCAACACTCAATACTTCTGTTCGCGTCCTCTCTGGGAGACGGCGGTGACAAAAAGACATGCCCACTGC